GTATTCGGCGGGAGCCGTTGATTTTTCACTATTGAAACAATTGTTGTTGATCCTCCCTCCAGTGACAATGGTGTTTTTCCACTGAAGTGCTTCCTTCGGGACTCGTAATTTTTTTCCCGGAAAGGGCGTAGGCCCAGAGCTTTTTTTTAGCTGTTTACCCCCGGACCTGACTTGAGGTTGGCAAAATTATTCCCTGATGAATATCGAGGTCGAGGTGAGCCGGCGGAGTTATTTTTGAGGATGTCCCTGGCGAAACGCTTGTTGTTCAGAATTTGTTGAGGATGTCTCGAGCGAAACGCTGGTTTTGCAGAGTTGGGGATGTCTCGAGCGAAACGCTTGTTTTCAGAATCTTTGGAGGATGTCTCGAGCGAAACGCTGGTTTTGCAGAGCCGACCGCGACGCGGAAAAGCGCCCCGCGCGCAGGAATTCCGATGATGTTTCGCGCGTGCCGCGTCCCGCGCGCAGGAATTTTGAGGATGTCTCGACTAATTCGTTTGTTTTGCTAGGATTTCCTTGAATTTTGGCAGGATGTCGTGAGCGAAATGCTTGTCTTTCATAATTTGTTGAAGACGTTTCCAGCGAAACGCTGGTTTTGCAAAATTGGGGGATGTCTCGAGCGGGGGCCTCGTGAGGTGCCTCGTGGGGGTCCAGAATTCAGAGGATGTCTCAGGCGAAATGCTTGTTTTCACGTCCCGCTCGCAAGAATTCCGAGGATGTCTCGCGCGTGCCGCGTCCCGCGCGCAGGAATTCTGAGGATGTTGGCAGGATGTCTCGAGCGAAACGCTTGTCCCCAGCACGTTCCGTATCGCGTCCCCTTGGCACGTCCCGCGGTACGTCCCCATGGCACGTCACCTGGCACGTCGCTTGGCGGGTCTCTTGAGACGTTCCGCGTCGCGTCCACTTGGCATGTCCCCTTGTCAATTAGCTCTGGGGCAGCTACGATGTGTTCAGGCAGCTCGAGCTTAAGATCCAGATCAGTTCGGTCAGGACTCGGATGCAAAGGAGGACTCGATCCACGAGGCCATCCCGTGGCACATCCATTGGCACGTTCCGTAGCGCGTCCCCTTGGTACGTTCCGCGGTGCGACCCCATGGCACGTCCCCTGGCACGTCGCCTGGCGCGTCCCTTGGGACGTTCCGCGGCGCGTCCTCCTGCCATGTCCCCCTGTCAAGTAGCTCTGGGGCAGCTACCATGTGTTCAGGCAGCTCGAGCTCAAGATCCAGATCAGTTCGGTCAGGACTCGGATGCAAAGGAGGACTCGATCCACGACGCTGTAGAGCACAATCGCGGCATGGCACATCGCAATTGAGCACGGCGCAGCACAGCACAGCCCTCGGCAGGGAACATCAAGATCGATACACTCAGCATTGCATTTGCCCGTCACCCAATCAGGTGTCTTTGAAAACGTTGCCATGCGTTACATTTCTATCTTCCTTTTCGGGTTCGTGGGTCGATCAGGTTTTTCATATCAGGGAAAACAATAGGGTCAAATTGTGTTGTTGACCCCCAGAGTACAACAACAGCGGTTCCCGCTTGAGTTTTCCTCGCGTTCTACTCAAGAGTCGTGCTCTCGCTTGGGACGTCGTTACAATTCATTTAAGAGTCGCTCTTTCGGGTCTCTGGAGCCGTGCTATCGTTGGAGGTGCGCTTGCAATATATTAAACTACATACAGCATCGATCTCTTGCGTTTGAATTTCCTGCACTTTACCCAAGCGCCGCGCTCCCGAGATTCAGGCACCCAGGAGTCGCGCTCACGCTTAGGACCCTCTCACAGCTTACTTAGGATTCGGGATCTCATTGCCTTTCGTGACCCCATTGCAGCCAGCCCTTCGTGGCCCCTTCGCTGCCCGTCGTGTCCCCGTTGCAGCCCTTCGTGCCCCCCTCGCTGTCCTTCGTGGCCCCCTTGCAGCCGTTCGTGGCCCCTTCGCTGCCCTTCGTGGCTCTCGCTCGTTCGCACCGTCGTGGCCTCATGTGCATGCGTTTCGTGGCCCCGCTATCCCCCTTCGTGGCCCCCTCGCTGCCCTTCGTGGCCGCGTTGCTGCCCTCAGTGGCCCCGCCCTTGCCATCTGCGGCCCAATATACGTATGCCCTTCGTGGCCCCCGCTCGTTCGCGCTCGTCGTGGCCCCATATGCATGCCCTTCGTGGCCCCGCGGTCGCCCTTTTGTGGCCCCCTCGCTTCCTTACGTGGCACCGTTGCTACCCTCAGTGGCCTCGTCTGCCCTGTGGCCCCGCATTATCTGCCCTTCGTGACCGCCGCTCGTTCGCGCCCTTCGTAGCCCCATACGCATGCCCTTCGTAGCCCCGCTGTCGCCCTTCGTGGCCCCCGTCCTGCCCTTGGTGGCCCCGCTGTCGCTCTCGCTCTTGCGTTCGCTCGTCGTCATCGACGTCGTCGTCATCGACGTCGTCGTCGTCGTCGTGGTCGGTCCCCTGTCCGTCCCTCTTGGGGTCGGGCTGCCGCTGATGGGCGCTGCTGCTGGCGAGGCCGACTGTCCGCGGCCGCCCCGCCGTTTGCCAGGGCACGGCCTGCAAGGAAAACATATAGATATACCCCAAAGGGGCACAATCGGAGACGAAGAGGGCGGGTATCGAGCGCTTGCACGTTGAATGACATTCGAACACGTGAGGGAGAACAGTCTTAAAATTGTTGTTGTTGCTCTTGTTGTAAACTGGGGGCCAGGGGCACAGTTTGGGGAGGAAGACGTTCCCTGATGGCAAACAGGGTGCGAGCCTTGGGAGGGTCATTTCAAATCAAAAACACATGTTTTACTGGAGGGGGGCAACACTAACCAGTCATCAGTAGTGGGAATTCAGTAGCAGCAACAGCAACAACAACAACAACAACGCCAACTACAACGACAACAACGACGACAACAACATCAACAACAACAGCATCAACAACAGCAATTACCGCACAGCTCGCCCATCGGCCACCCGCCAGCCCCACGCCAAAGGGCGAGCATAAGTACGGGCGCAACCCCGCGCTGCATGCTTAGCCTCTGGCTGGGCCATGCACGGCAAGGCCGAACATGGCATCGCGTGGCGCGTAGATGCGCGCACCGACCACGACTCCTCTCAGGTCCTACCTCCGACCCCCCTTTCGCCACATCTTCTTCCTAGTCCTCAGTAGTCCCTCTCACCCACCCCGCCCCCGTCGTCCAGGGCGTGGCACATGGTGCTACGTGGCTACGTATGAGACATTTCCTCACCGCCCGGCCTCAAAATCTGCCAGCGACGTGTCCTCATACTTCCCGTTTTCAATTGCCAGCGACATATCCTCACACGCCTCGCTTGAGACCGCCAACGATATCCTCACCGCCCCGTTCCTACCACAGCCAGCTAAATTTCCCCACCGCCTGGACTTAAAACTGCCAGTGAAATATCCTCAGCCCCCTGGCCGAAAGCTGCCCACGGATCATCCTCACCCACGCGACGTGCGAAATATCCCAACACCCCTCCCTGAGATCTGCCAGCGAAATGTCATCACCCCCTGGCTTAAAACTGCCAGCGAAGTATCCCCACCGCCCTGGCTTAGCACTGCCAGCGAAATATCCTCACACACCTCAGCGAAATATCCTCACCCCCATGGCCCAAAACTGCCAGCGGAATATCCTCACACCCCTCGCTGGAAACTGCCAGCGAAATATAATCACAGCCCATCGCTTGAAATTGTTAGTTACATTCTTCCACACCCTGACTTACAACTGCCACCGAAATATCCTCGCACCTGTCGCTCGAAATTGCCATTGAAACATCCTCACACCCTTCGCTTGAAACTGCCAGCGAAATATCCTCACCCCCCGGCCTTAAAACTGCCAGCGCATTATCCTCACACCTCGCTTAAAACTGCCAGCGAAATATCCTCACCCCTCTGCTTAAAGCTGCCACCGAAATATCCTCAACCCCGTGACTTAAAACTGTCAGTGACATTTCTTCACACCCCTCGCTTGGAACTGCCAGCGAAATATCCTCACCGCCCCTGGCTTAAAACTGCCAGCGAACTCTCCTCACGCCACCGCCGTAAAACTGCCAGCGAAACATCTTCACCGCCCCTGGCCTAAAACTACCAGCTAAATATCCTCTCCCCATGTCTTAAAACTGCCATCGACATATCCTCGCACCCCTCGCTTGAAACTGCCAGCGAAATGTCCTCACTGCCCCTGGCTTACAACTGCCAGCTGCATATGATTCCCCCCCTGGCTTAAAACGGCCAGCGCGGTACCCTGAACCCCCAGAAATAAAAATCCTTTCTTACGGCTTTGGTGATTCAGTTGTCAGTTCAGTCAGTCAGACAGTCTACCTCCCGAAAATCAAATCCGTTCTGCACCCGGAAACAACAACAGCAGCAACCTCAACAATAACAACGACAATAACATCAACGACAACAACATCAAAAACAAACAATCCTCACCGCAAAACCTCACTTTAGACACGCGCCCAGGGACAGTGAATGACAGTTCGGCCCCCTCACTCTGACATAGATTGCCCCCCCCTGAGCTATGCGGACCCTATCGTCGCCCTCGAGTACAGTCGGTGGTTCTGGACATCTGGCGGATCGATATGTTTGTTCAGCGGAGTGTCAAGGGGAGAAGCGAGAGGGCGGCTGGGCTTCCCAGAACTTCGCCGGTCTTCTGAGAAGCCTTCTTCTGCGTCTTCGGAGAAGTCGCAGAAAGCTCAATGCGACCCCGTATGCCGAGGCCGAGCGAGATTTCCAGCATGATCAGGGTGAGGTTGCTCGTGCCACCCCTCCCGGTGATGGCGATGCTGATGCGACGACGTCTCAGAACACCTCTCCTTGGCCTTCTGAGGCTTCTTTGCCTTTCCCCTGGGTGCGCCGCCGATTTGAGACACGGGCACCCGTACCTCTCGACCTTCGGATCATTTGGAGCTGGTCTCTGATTATTTCTTTTTGGGCCCAGGAGGGGCCCCTCGAGGCTGCAAACGGCGATAAACTGGCCGTCTTGGTTGTTCCGAGCCGTTGGGCGTAACGGATACCCAGAGGAGTTTATCAACGATCAGCTGCGGCGGCTGAAGGTCCACTCTTCGGAGGACAAGCGCGTCGCCCAGGGGATCGAACGCCTGCAGGGGATCCTAGACCGCGTGCAAAGAGCACCCGCCCTGCCAGAGAGCCGCGCAGTTCGGCAGATCCAGCGCCAGTTGAAGCAGCTGGAGGCCGACTGGAAGGATCCGCTGAGCGCGGGTTTCCTCATCTTCTTGCATTGAGATCTGGACAGATCTTTCTCGAGTAATGCCGCAACATGTCTAGATTTGTTTCATCTTTCCGCGCCGTGGGATCTCAGGGTTTGCTGCACTCGGTGGTACCACGCTTTGACGCAGCTCGAAAAAGGATCGAAACCGCCTACGACGAATCACCGCCGCCCACTGCCTTCGCTGTGGCCCGAGCTCGGCCAAGCTATCGACTACGTGTTCCCCTCGAGGAAAGGAAGGAACAAGGAGGAGGAGGAGGAGGAGGAGGAGGAGGAGGCCTCTTGGGAACCTCCTGGGGCACTCTTCTGGCCTCGTGGCAGCTTGCTGGAGGCCTCTTGGGGGGTTCCTTGGGTCTTGTGGGGCCCTTCGGATGCTCTTTGACGGCTCGTTGGCCGTCTGAGGACGTTCTTGGCTCGCTGGACGCCGTCGGAAGCCGTCGTGCGTGCCTTTCTGGGTTGGCTTGGGATCCTCTTGGGGCGTTGCAAGGTCGTCTTGGAGGCCATGTTGGGCGTTTGGGTTGTCTCTTGGGCCGTCTAGAGGCCTTTGTTGGGGCCGTCTTTGGGGGCCTCGGGGGCCGTCAGGAGGAGGAGGGGGAGCAGGAGGATAAGGAGGAGGAGGAAAAGGAGGACGAGGAGGAGCAGGAGGAGGATGAAAAGGAGGAGGAGGAGGAGGGGGTTGACCAGGGACCAGGGACCAGGGTGACGGGAGCGCAGTGTCCCACGGAGGCCCCTGGGAGCCCTGAGAAGGACCCTCAGTGCAGCTCCGCACAGGAGAAAGCCCTACCCCAGTTCTGGAGGTCCCCCTTTGGAGCCAGTCACAGGGTGGAGACCAACCCCAGCTTGAATGACATTGAGGTCGTGCTTGACCTCTTTGGGCGGCCCGCTGTGGCTGGGGTAGAGGCTCTTACGAATCCGCGCAAGGTTCTCATGACCTTTGCGTGTGGGCTGACCACTGCCATGCCGACTGGATCCCATCCCATATGGGCGATGACCCTAGCGAGCTGGTCGCCGCGTTGGGCGTCGAGGAGGCTGGCGAGGCACTTGCCTGGTCCGCGGCCCGCAGCGGAAGCCGCCGCAGCCCGCCTCGAGCGCAACACCGCCGACGGCGCCAGCCCCGGCACTTGGCGCCCGCGCGCGGCCTTCGGCTGGGCGGGCGCAGACCAGAGCGCCTTCGTGAGTCGGCTGAGACGCACCCGTGGGCGCATCCTGGGGATTCCCCTGAACATGGAGTGTGCTGCTCTCTTTCTGCTGTCCGTCTTCTTCTGCGGCCGCCGCCTGCCAGCTGCCGCGTCTATGCTCCACGCCGAGGTCAATGTCAGTGACTGCAGCCTTGCAAGGGGCGCCTCGGCGACGCAAGCCCCTCTCCAGCTCGCGGCGCAAGGCGGGGTGGCCAGGCATGATGACGGCCTTGCCCGACACCTCGGTTCTGCGCGTCGAGGCCCTCCAGGGATGGTGGAGCGCACCCTGCTCTGCGCGCCCTCCGCCCTGGCGACGGCGTCGTCCACGAAGGTCCAAATCTGCGCGTGCCCCCACTGGCGGTGCACCTCCGTAGTGATGGACCCCAAGTATAACTTCGCCGACTCGCCGGGGTTGATGGCAGGCCCGAGCCATTGGTTCTGTCTAAGCATCCTCGGTGCCATAAAAAGCTGGGTCTCGAGTGCCAGCGCGATGGCTGTGAAACCTTGGCTGTTTCCCGTCCTGGGGAGGCGGTCGAAGCCGATGTCTTCGCAGGACTCGGCAATGTCCAGCAGCAGCGCAGCCGCGCAGCAGCCCAGGGCGAAGGCCGCCCCGCCCATCATCGAACGGCGGATGGCGGCTCGCAAGGCCGACGAGCCTATGATGACCGCGCCCCACCAGTAGTGCTCGGCGTCGGCTCATAAGTCGGCAGCAGCAGACCTGGCCTTCGACCGCGTCTTGGCCACCGTGGCCAGCATCTGAAGCACTCGGCCTCCGCCCGCAGGTTTCGGCACCGCAGCGCCGATGGTGGTTGCCAGCTGCCGCGGCCGCATGCCCTTGGCCCCGACGAGTTCGACGAGGTTGGCGAGGTCCTGCCTCGCCGCTTGCGGGGGCCGTTGGACGTCAGCCTTGCTGGCCGAGGTCCAAGCGAGGGCGCTGTCCAACATGCCGACAGTGATGGGCTCCAGTGGAAACCCCATGGCCAGGCGCATGAGGTCCCTCATGGTGGCGGTGATGGCGTCCTGGTCGAGCTCAGGGTCGGGCCAGATTTTGTTACAGGTGGCGCTATTGGCGCTCGCGATGGCGCCCGGGTCCGCCACCGCTGCGTCGGCAATCGGCAGCTCCGCCTGGCCCGCGTGCGGCTCGCGAACGCGGCTGTGCAGCAAGCCCGCCTTCTTCTGCCACGACTCCTGGGCTCGCTCGATGGAGCCTCGCCGCGAGCTGCTCGGGGATCGCCCAAGCGCGCGGCTAGCCCAGCGCTCGGTCAAGGCGAGGAAGATGGGATGGCGGCGCGCTGCAGCGCTTCCTCCGACCCGCGTTTCCAGGCACCGCGTGCGATGACGTCATGGATGGCCTTCTTCGCCTCGTCCCACGCGTTGATCTCCCGGGCGATGGGAGTAGCCGAAGTAGGTCCGACGCTGCCCCACGTCCCCAATGTAGCCACTCGCTTGACGGCGTGTCCGCTGGCGCGCCCGCTGTAGGCGTCGGCCTGCTCCGCTGGGATGTCCTCTGTGGAAATGTGGGCCCCCTCGAGCTGCGTGACCCAGCCGGCGTAGCGGCAGGCGCGCTCAGCTGACGCTGCCGGGGCCTCGCTTGGAGGAAGTGGTCGCCTCGGCGTTTCTTTGGCGCGGGAAGGTGCACCGCGGCGGCGCTCGAGATCCACGTTTCGTCGGTAATGTGGTAAGGTCTGCTGGTGTCGACGACGTCAGCGTGCGAGCTGGCGATCTCGCGGCGGGCCCCCCGAAGCCTTGGCGGGGCCATCTGAGCTCGTCGACCCCTAGCCCCCGCAAGCTTCTTGGACCTCTTGCCGGCGGGGTCGGCCTCCAGCGGCGGGCGGTGGCGTATCAGACGAGCCTTGGCCATCTGCAACTTGTGATGGTGCCACTCTGTGTCAGAGCTTCTGACGGTAATCTCGATCGCGCAGTGCGTCTTCCACGGCGCGCAGGCGATGCCCTCGAGGGAGACACTGCGGTGCCGGTCGTTCTTCGCAATCGCGTAGTGCAGCCCTTCCCCTCGTCGCAGGTGCTGGCGACGTTCGCCAGGGTGGCGATGGCGCCGCCGATTTTGGCGAGCCAGACGCTGCGCTCCCAGGCCGGGGGCTCGACGTTCCAGTCCGCCAAGACCACCCGAGGGTCGCGGATCGCAGTGAGGAGCGAGCCCAACGCGACGAGCCTCGTCCTGCTAATTGACGTTGAACCGCAGGCCAGGCTGGAGGCGCGCGATGACCAGGACCACGTAGCCCTCCTTCAAGTGCAGCAGGCACGGGCTGAAGCCCTGGAGCAGCTCCTCACCTGCGGCAGCCAGGTGCCGCTGGCGACGCGCCTTGTAGGTGGCAGCAGCCACCGCCTTGTTCAATTGAACGCCCATGAGGGTGCCCAACATTTTTCCCGGAAAGGGCGGGTTCCCAGAGTTCTCTTTTAGAGGTGTACCCCCGGAATCGACGGCTGCAGGGCCGGCGGAATTTTTACGAAGGCCTTGCGGCCGGCGCCGCCGACCCTGAGAACGACGAAGATGAAAACGAAGGGGGGGGGGGCAGGGGGGATGAGCGGGAGGTGGGGGAAGGGTGGAGGAGGTGGATGAGGGAGGAGGAGGGGGGAGAAGGATGTGGAGGAGAAGCAAGAGGAGGGGAAGGAGGCAGAGGAGAGCAGGAGGAGGGGGAGCAGAGGGGGGGGGAGGAGGAGGAGGAGGAGGACCAGCGCTCAGACTGAAGAGGAGAGTTCGGCCGTCCTGGGCCACTAGCCGCATCCCCTCTAGGAGGCTTTCCTGGCAAGCGGGGCCGACCACGGAGACAGGCGGATGGCTCTCGTCTCGTGAAACATCCCAGGCATTATGAAACCTCGCGCGGATTACCCTCCTCGGGGTCGGCGGGGCACGTCTCAGCTAGTTCCTTCGCCAGCTGGGCCAGTGGGATCGGAACTCTCAACACGATTGGCGAATTCGGGGCCCCCTTGGGATGTCTACCCTCCATGGCGCGCTGCTTCCGCAAACGACGCCCGTGGTTAGGGGGCTCGCCAGGGCATTCGTCGGCTAGACCTCGAGTGCTTTCGGTGGAGGCACCACAGGTCCAGCACAAAATTAAATTTAGGGGGCTGCATTCGTCTTCATAGCCACAGAAATAAGGATTTGTGACCACGAGGATTACGGACCAGGTTACTATGAGCTTCACAGTAACCAGGATTCCTCATGGTCACGTCGAGCCTCGGCTGCGCTGGTAGTGCAACTCTGGCGACAGGCGGCACATATGAAACTTTCCCCCCAGGGGTGCCACTGGTGCTTCCTTCGTTCGAGGACGGGGTCGAGGGGGGGCCTCGGCGGAGGTGGAGGAGGAATCAGGCCCCACGAGAGGCCAGCCGACGCAGCCCCAGTGGGCGGGTTCAAACACACAGTCGGTTTCTCGAAAGCTTTGGCACCTATCCCGGGGGCAACTGGAGGCCACATCTGTAGGGCTTCCGCTACATGCCTTACATATTTCGCAAGTAGCTCGTTCTGGGCTTCTTGCAACTGGGTCTCGTGTAGACTTGGTTGCGAAGCTTGAGCGGCGGCTATCTTCGCATATTTATCGGCAGCGTCGTTGCCTTTCGCTCGCCGCCACTCATCACTAAACCTTGGAAGCTCATACATATATATATATATATATATGTATTCAAACGCGCTTTCATCTTGTTTAAACGGTGCCCCAGCGGGGTGGCGCAGGCGCCCCCTAGGACCTTGAAGGCTTCATAAAAATCGGCCCGCGAAAACCACTCTTTCTTGTGCACGTCAATGGCTCCTTGGTAATCTACATACATCTGGGCGTGTGGGTGGACATTGAGGCCAGCAGCAAGCGCATCACAGTGCTCAGCAGCAGGGGAGGAGGAGGAAAGGGATTTGCCCACGCGCCCCATTAGATACGCAAACACATCTCCGTGGCCATCGATGGCCACTACTGACCATCCAGCCACGTTATAGTTTTTATGCCCTCCAGGTTTCAGGCAGGACCCATCCGTGACAATTTCCCCAGCGAAGGCCTCATGAGGCTGCAGGCTGGGCTCGCGACA